CCAAAATTGCCAGATAAAAACTTTGGTTGACCATTTCACCCAGATGAACAAATTCCGAGTGCACAATCCCTCTCACATCAAAGAAACAGATGATCATTGTTTTCACGTTTAACTTCACTTGTACTGTTTTGGGTTGTGAAGATATGGCAGTTTTCCATAGGCTGGATTGCTGTTTCGTTTCGGGGTCATAGGCGTAGCACCAAGATTCATCTCCGGTTATGACTTTCAAAAAAAAATCAGGGTCAGCCTTCAACTGCTCCTTCAAAGCATGGCATGCAGTCAAGCGATTGTCTCTTTGTTCAGATGTGAGCAACCGAGGCACGAATCACCCATCATGAAATAGGCAAACACATTGAAAGAGTCTCTAAAAAACCCCCACTGAAGCCGAACGCAGCCTCTCACACCAACCCAGCTGGTACACTGATGCAGATGGGTTCCTAGGACATTCACCTAGTGGGAGAAGCCTGTACTACAAGGGGCCCGCCCTCCAGAAGATAATTCCAGTTTTTTGGGGGGTCCCCCCTCATATATAGCTCCTGTTGAAAAGCCACTGTCAATTGTCTTTAAAGGGGCAGGCTTTGGCTGATGAATTTTCAGGAGTATCCTGTGCCAGTTGATGCAAAACAGGCAATTGCAAGTTGGGAAAGCTTTATTGCTGTGTTGTAAGTTTCTTGAAATTATCTAGGGGTAATTAGCAAGATTGATTACTATTGCAGCTTTCAGGATGTTAGTTGAGGTGTATAAATTTCAGTCAAAGGGAGGATGAAGTTTTTGCTGGGACCAATATTTTTCAGAATGCTAAACCTGCTGCTCTAGCAATATCAGTAGACCAGGATCTCTCTGACTGCTAAAGCAGCACCCAGAAAAAGTAGTAAGGCACCTTCTCTGAAGCACTTTGCCTGTCTGAGAGGACTTGGCTCACTGCTTAGAGCAGGCCTGATCTTTCTTGAAGTGGCTTTAGTAATAGCAGGTGGGTCAGGTAGCTCTCTGGTTGCTAAAGCAGCAGCAAAATCACTAGAGAATGTGGTATACTTGGACCTCTCTACAGGGACCTGCTTATCAGTTGGGGCAGTTTTTCTTTACATGGGTTTCGCAGGCAAGTTGCACCAGGATACAATACTTATACTGGTTCTGACAGGTAGATAAACCCATCACTCTAGCCCTCATTCTCAAAACAAATTGAGAATGAAGTGTATTTTGAATGTGGAATTTTATTGTTTGTTCTCTTAGGATTAGGTAGCTCAAATCTGTCATGATACCAGCATTTAGTATATGTGATTGTTAAATATTAAAGCATAAAAATATAGGAAAAAACCAGAATCGCCACCAAACTACAGTTCTAATTTGCAATCAATCGTGAATTTAGCCATATATAATATGTAATTTATTAGGCAAAGTTGAGCATGTATTATGATAAATATTCATTCACAAGGAAAAATCTTTTTGATTGGGTCCTAGCCTATTTATTTTAATCTTCACAGAAGTTCAGTTTTGATAAAAATAATAAAGCATCTGTGGTGAAAGAATCTTCTCTTCCTTGAAAACAAAAGATGAGAAAAGATTTTAAAAATAAATCTGTAATCCAACATGTCTTTAATCAATCAGTACAACCAGTATATCATAAAGTTGTTTCATATATTTGGCCCTAAGCCTAGATCAAAGACAATCAAGGAAATTTATAATGGTATTATTTTTTAGAGATCATAATATCAAATACTTATAAGTAATCTATAGTTCAGGAAAAAAAATAAGATTGATAGGAAAATAATTTGTAACTGATGTTTTTGGTGTAAACCTGTTTCTTTCTCCTATGTAATCTTATTCCCTCCTGATCACCAAACCAGCCCTTGCTGTCTATACACTGCATTTGACAGTGTTCTGTGTAACCCAGTATCTTTCAGATAGAGAACCAGCATATTCTATTTTTCTCTTGTTATCCTTTTTGACATATACTCTTGCAAGATTCTTTACTATCAGGTTGTCAAGGAAACAACACTGTCTGTTCTAATAGACTCTTAATGCAGATGTACACATTAATCCTACTGCTGCTGCTGCTGCTAATCAGTTCATTTGCTCTGATGATGTTTATAATATTTCTACTTCAGCAAGGACCTATTATGTATATGTAAAATGTGAACCTTATAAGGTAAAGATGTCTCCTTCCTTCTTTCCTAGCAAATTTCCCACTATTGATTAGCACTTGTACATAATGTGTCTCCCCAAAACAAAGAGTTTAATAAGCCCTCTTAATTTTAAATGGGAATTTATCTTCTTCTTCTTCTTCTTCTTCTTCTTCTTCTTCTTCTTCTTCTTCTTCTTCTTCTTCTTCTTCTATTAGCTCTATGTGGTGGGTATATTTATGGAAGAAGTGGAACTCTTCTGTCACCAGGCTTTCCTGATTTTTATCCCAATTCTTTAAACTGCACATGGACAATTGAGGTTTCTCATGGCAAAGGTAAGAATAATTGTATAATTGTGTCTTACAGAGAGAATAAATTAATTAAAAATGCAAACTCATCCATGGCTATTTAAACTACTTGAAAGACAAGAGAGAGAGAATTAATTATCTTAACTCACTTTTGGAGTTGTTGAAGTTAGCCAGTTCTGTTGGCTTTACTCTCTTTCTTATCATTTCTAGGAAGAGGACTAATCTCAAAATTAGAAGCTATAAAGAAGCAAAATCATATTAATAATAATTTGGTGATTGTCAATAGAGTATTATAATGCTTGCACAGATTGCTTGCGTACATATATTCTTTGATTCATTTTATTTTGTTATGTTTTTGATTCAAATTGCAGAATCAAGAGTAGGGGTAATTTGCAAACATTTAATTAGGTTCATTGTCTTAGAATGCATCTATGCTAAAAGTTTGCTAAATGTCTTACAGTGCCAATGCTTCCATGTAGACTGCTTGTAAGCCAGTGTGGTGTAGTGCTAGATGTTGGACAAGCAGCTGGAAGACATATTCTGGTCCACCCACAGCCCCAGAAACATACTTGATGACTTTGGGACAATTATTCTTTGCAACTTAACTTACTTTATAGGCTTGTTGTAAAGAAAAAGTGGAGGAGGGAGTGCTTTGTAAGTTGCCTTGTACTCTTGGAGGAAAGGCAAGATATACATCTAACAAATAAATAATTCAATTTTAGCCTTATTAAAATATTTGTAGGATAAATATTAGACAAAAGGAAAGTCTCAAAGAAAATAAAACACTAATCTTTAATAGAGATTTGACATTCATGAGTTTGAGATTTATGAGTTTAAAATATTACCAATTATCCCACCAACACAGGAATCTTTCATACATTCATTTATACTCTACTTATGTCAAAATGTAGCTTAAAATTGTGGTTCTGATTCCACAAAAGCATGTTTTGGCTTCCTTATTATTGTAATTTGCCTGAAACAGGTGGTTAGCTAATTATAAAATGCTTTTATCATAGACCAATAGTTTTTGAGAAAAGGAATCTTCCCAGATATTTTTTCTTATGACAGGTATCTGTAAACATACATAATATATTGGTTTTGATAACTGTCTAGCTATAGTATAAAATGGTTATGACAATGAATATGTTTAAGGCCTAGACTAGAGGTTGGTGAATAATTTTTATTTTCTTTACTGTCATAATATGATATGTTCTGAATATAACCTATTAAGGAATGCTGTTTTGTGGTATAATAGAGATGCAGAGGCAGCAGTAGGTTTCCACTATGAACAGAAATAGCTTATCTTGAACAAATTTGATTTTGGAACAAAAAACATATTTGAGGCCTAGAACTTTTGGCAGCAGCCTGCTATCTTAATTATAATAGCAACTGATCTCACCCGCTATAGTACTGTAGTGTGCACTGTAGCACAGCGTGAAGTTCAGAGGCCACAGCTGCATGGAATTTGAGATGCGACTTAGCTATGACATGGCTCCATGAGCATCTACCCTAATAAATGTGACTGCTGGCATTGCCTTCCCTGACTCAAAAATCCTGTTTGGAGGAAGGGAGATGCAATGGCAGTTTTAGGACTGAGGAAAGTACGATGGCATTTTACTTGCATGGATTCTGATGCAATCATTTATGGAGGGGTACTCACTCATGTGGCACTTGTACTAGATTTTTGGTATATCTCTGTATGTGAGAATGTTGAGAATGTCATGGATATTCCTAGTAGCTGATGGAACTAATGGCAATGCTAAACTCTTAGCTGTCTAGGATTATAGGTGGTTCAGTTCAAGAGACCAGGTTGCAAAATAGTTTGTCATATTTAGGTCATTCTGTCCATAAAAAGCAAAACATTATTCTTTTCTCATCCTTCAAGGTGTTCAACTGATCTTCCACACTTTTCACCTGGAGAGCTCCCATGACTATTTGCTCATCACTGAAGATGGGAGCTTTACAGAACCTGTGGCAAGATTAACAGGCTCTGTTTTACCTCCTACCATTAAAGCTGGACTCTTTGGAAACTTTACTGCACAACTTCGATTCATTTCTGATTTTTCCATATCCTATGAAGGTTTTAATATAACATTTTCAGGTAAAGATGTGCAAATAGTTGCTTTGTCAATTACTTATGTTTATATTATTATTAAATAGCAATTACTAAGAGGTATTACATGCTACATGTTGACATAATAACATACTTAATCTAGTTCTTGTTTACCTTTTAAAGTACTCTCAGTTCAGTGCATATATATTTACTTCATTGGAAGTTCTATTTATAGTGATGTCTATTTATTTATTTTTTTATACATACATACCTCATTATCACTATCATCACCCTGCTTTGGATCTAAGATACTTTTAACAACTAACTGATTAATATTTTAGAAGAAGTATTTTGAACATCAGGTACCAGGTTTGGTAGAAAGATGTTTGCCACCTCTATCCAAAGTAATTGTTAAATATCACCTTAATACAGAAAAGAGATACCTGGAAGAATATGCTGGAGGATTATTTATTTATGCATGCATGCATGCATGCATGCCTTCAAGTCAGCATTCACTCCCAGCAACTGCCTGGACTTGTCCTGGCAGTTTTCTTGGCAAGATTTCAGAAGTGGTTTGCCATGGCCTTCTTCCTAGGCTAATTTTGGTTTTATGCATAAGGTAGGACAAGAACTCATGTCTCCTGGTTTCTAGCCTGGTACCTTAACCACTATACCAATTGTCATGTTAACTGCATGGATTCTGAGGACAATATGTTTAGATTTCGGCTGCTTTTCAACTTTCTGGAATTGTGTTCAGGCTTAGAAATATAAGATGCCTTTGAATAGAACTTCAGAGGGGTCTCTTGGCTTTGTCTTAAGTGAAGCACCCTTTCAAAGCTGCTTCACTGGGCAACCCCCTGGCTTCTAAAAATAGAGCAAATGCTGCTTTCCTTTGCCTATGTCGAGTGCTTTTTCAACTCTCTTCTGGCTATTGCCAGTGTTGGTTCAGACTGCAAGGAAACATGAAGTGCCTTACTGAGCAAAGAATGCTCAGTAAACTGAAATGAAGACTGTTTCATTTCTGTGGCATCAGTGTTTTCACTGAGGCAAATTCAAAACACCTTTGAAAGTGTTCTAATTTTTTTTCCCCCTCCTTGGTTGATCTAAGTCCATTGCTCATTTCAACAAGGTACAAAAACAAACAGTTTAAGAAGTTATGTGTAAAACAATGACTGTTGTTACTTTGATATCCAGCTATTTTGTTACTTTGATAATCAATCAAAATATCTTGTTACATCCTAATATTTCTCCAACTTACTTATTCTATTCTTATAGAGATTTTCATTTCACTTTTCTGTACATATGCATAAGCTATATTCTGTGAAGTTGAAGGTCAGTGTGATAAAATAAAAAAAATATGTGAAAACCACAAAAGCAAAAAATAGAAATACTGTCTGGCTTAAATATTAGGTACTTAAAAGACAGCATTCTGCCAGAATAAAAAATGTGTTTATTATTTGAGAAAAGGTATTCAGAGATGGGAATATCTCTATTTCATAGCCTAAATTATCAGTGTAGAAAGAGTCAATGAGAAGTTCTGTATTGTGCCATAATCAGCCATGTCTTCTTCATAAGAAGGTTGCAAAGAGAGAGTGGTGTGGGAGAAAGTGACTTCCCATATATCCTGTCTCCAAGACATTTAGGTTTTAATGGTAGTTATTGAATTGTGCCTGGAAACAAATTAGCAACAAGGACAGATAGAGTTGGATAGCATGAAGAATATAGGATCAGAAAAATTAAGCAAAATGAGAGAACACTACGGATAGTTTATTACATTCTTGTTCAGATTAGATGGGACTTTCAACCAGAGTTTCAGTTTATGAATTCCAAAACCGTCTGGGAAAACCATATCACAACTCATTCTGTGTCCAGTTTTCACGTACAGAACATTTTTGAGACAAACCAGTGGGCTTTTGAACAGAGGAAAAGAATACCTTTAAAACATGTTGTGTGTTTTGCCATTTCCCCATGCCCATTTGCAGTCACAGCCAGGTGCATTGCTGCTTTTGTGATATTCATGTGGCTTTTGTGGGATTCATTGTGTGATCCCTTTTCAAAGGAGATCATGTGATGAATGTGACAATCTCTCCTAGTCACTTAAACTTTGTTACATGAGTAACTCACAAGCCCTAATAGTGTCTCAGTCTGGAGATATGAATGCATTCCTATTGCCAAGGAAACTGTGTGGACTCTCTTTGTTTCACAATGAGGAAGTGGCAATTTTATTGCCCGGAATAATGCATTGTATTGATTTAGTTCTATTCTCACATTAGCCTAATTCCACTCATTCAGAAAAAGATTGCTGAAAATAAAAAAATTAAGCTTCTACATGATATTGAAATTAGAGGCAAGAATGCTTGTGTTTACCTGGGGAGATAAGACTTATGCACAACATTTACTCTCAGAATAGAAAAGAACACAGTGCTAATATTTTAAAAATAACCAGTCTGTCTATTTAGACCACTTAATTGACACAGAGACAAATGCATCGTTACATCTGAACTGTAATGAATAGCTATATTGAAACTTTTAATATGATAGTATCTGCACATAGATAAAGGTCTTGTTCCATGTGCAGATTTGCTTGTGAGAATCTGAAATAAAAGGAGACACATGTCAGAGAGGCAGATGAGAAAAGGAAAAATTGTCAAGGAAAACTTCGCCAACATTTTCCGTATCTTGAAACACTGTGAATACAGGTTAATACAATGTCAGTATAATAAGAAGAATAACAAAGTAAAAGAAGTGATTCATGGTCAAGAGATTAAATGGCCAGCAGATTTAAGAGGAAAAATGTACTGAGAGATATTTCCCAAGGAAGAAGTTATCAATATAAAAGTGAAATCTTCCATAACACCAAAACAAATCTGACTAAAACCACTGTTTTTCATAGCTTGTTTGCACTTAGCATTTTATTTTGTGGACGTGTAAGTTTCTGCCACTACTTTTTTATCACCTTCCAATGATTAGTCCCTACTTAACTGGCCAAATATATAGTAGTGGAACACAGGAAGGGTGGGAAAGGCAATAGGTGATAATACTGAAAACGGGCAGTGTTTCAGAAGTGCATCAAAGCTGCATCATGTTGCTGCATGACAAATTTATTTGAGGTCTTGCTTTGATTTCAAGGGTTGTAATCATAGGACTTCTAATATAATATTCTATTTAATTTACACTTGATATTCTACCACAATCCTAACAATTGCTAGGATTAGTGCAGCTCAAAAAGTGTCATTTCTCTTATTGGAGGGGGTTATCCTGCAAAATGTTTATTAGAAGGGATCATTTTAAGTTGAGTTGCATATCAACTAAAATACCAAACTATTTCAGTATCTGTACAAACACAACTGGCAGAATATTTCACTAATAGAACATACAGCATTATGTTTACAAAGCAGTATATATACATTTGCATGTCTCTCTTTCTCTGTGTATGTGTTTCCTGGTTTACTGGATAAAAACTATTTTTCTTAACTACAAAAACCTATCAGGGGAAAAATATTCTGCAGGACTTGCTTTGGCTTCCATACCGGCTTGACTTTCAAAGACTGCAGTTCCTATGCAGTAAGATGAGTCTGCACATGCAAATTAATTCATACTGAATTATCATTCACAGAGAGAGAGAGAGATGAATGAAAGCCTTGAAGAAAATAGTGATGGGTGGGTGTATTCCTAAGAAAATGTTCAAAATTCAGTGACATTTTTTCAGGTATTTTTGTCAACTACTAATCAACACCCTTTAGGCAAACACTGTAAATCCTTAAGTCATTGCAGTAGTTTCTTGGATAAAATATTGGTTTCCTTTGTTAATACCAAATCACAGCTTTTTTTGTTTCACTTATGACAAATGCTGGTCTGATCCAGATGCCAATACAACAATTGGCATTCTGAAAAGTGCTCCAGCAAGTGTTGCATCATTAGATTCAGTGTCATGCAAGGGCATTGAATGGTCTAACAAACTGAAGAGAAAAGCAGACTTCTGGTTGCCTATGTTGCAAGACACTATAATAGGTAAACTATTTCTTGAGGTCCAGTATGTTTGTGTGTGTGTGTGGAAATCAGGATAGAAAGAGCAAATGTCCACTTTCCGTTTAGATGACTTAATTTTCCCATAAATTCCACCTAATTTCCCATGATTGATCCATTTATATATGCTTAAATCTATATGCAATTACAATTAAATATTTTCTTTTAAGTAAAGTAGAGAAAACCTGCAGAGCATGGCTTCTGAAATTCTTTCTAAGCCTGGATCAAGTGACATGACTAGAAGAACCAAAACTTAAGAATGATGCAGTCACCAGCATTCCAACTTGCTATCCAGCTGTTTTGCTCATAAGAATATATTGGAGGCATTGGTTCTAGTATTTCTTTTTTCTCCTCCACAGCTTCCAGCCAGATCTGGCTTATTTTTTAACTTGACTGTCTTCCATTAGCTTCTTCCTCTAAACCAAATTTGGTCCTCTTTTGTTCTGTTTTCAGAGATTTATCATGCTGAGAGATAGACAAAGTCCTAAGATGCTTTGCGTAACTTATTTCCAACATTTGATTATATTCATTAGGCCTGTACAACTTCAGTTAAAAACCAGCTCCCAGCTGGAAGCATCCAGGGCTACCAATCGGGAGGAGTAACCTAAAAGCAGTCCTAGTGCCTTGAAGCAACTTGAAGCATACTGAAATAATTTGAGGATCCAAATAACATACCTGGAAAGGGAAGGTCTTTGAAAGCAGCTTTGGTCCTGCTTCCTCCACTGTCAGCTGCCACATGGGGGAAACAGATAATGCCCTCAAGGGACATCCTGTTCCCTGTTCTAAAAGATGTATTTTTTCTTTTATTGCTTTCTAACAAAATTATCCTTACAATGTTATGCTGATACAAGAGACACCAGGGTTACGCTATACCTATATACATCTGCCTCTCTGTAATGTTTCTTTTGCATTTATGTGCCCTAAGTTGTTTTTCATATAACTGAGTAAGGTAAAAACATCCTAGACTTGAAGTTGACTTTTGATGATTATATGGCCCCTTCTTGTAGTTTTCTTGACAACAGCGTGGACCTAGCTGTCTAATATAAATGGCAGTTATATGAAAACAAGAAAACGTGCATCATTATGTCATATTGAAAACTTCAGTGTTTTGCATTTGCATCCCAAACATTGCATATAACTGTATAAGCTATGTGGTGTGGATCGCTACATTATCACATGTTTTGTCATTCTACCACCTTCCAAACTTTCTCTTCTAAAATTCACTGATAGTCTTTCATCCAACTACTAATGCGGCTCAACCCCGCTTAATTTCCAGACTAAACAAGGTCAACCAGATGTTGCTACTTGCTGAGATTCTGTTTATAATATTGTTTATAATTATTTATAATAGAAAAGCAGATATACATTTAGTAAATATCTCCACATTAAATACTGAAATATCTATACAATTTAACCGATTGTCTGGAGGCCTAAGTTCCTCTTGCAGTGGGGAGGGGAAGCAGATATATATTCTTAAAATATTGTGTTTCATATTTGTTTTTGATTTCTTGTTGGAAGAATATGACCTGGAGCCTTGCGATGATCCTGGAGTTCCTGCCTTCAGTCGACGCATAGGATTTCATTTTGGAGTTGGAGATTCCTTGACATTTTCTTGTTTCCCTGGATATCGTTTGGAAGGTGCGATCAAGCTTACCTGTCTGGGTGGTGGCCGTCGTGTATGGAGTGCACCTCTGCCAAGGTGTGTGGGTAGGTGGTCACATGCTTTCATTTCATTCATCAAATTGTTTCTGGAACATGAAGCAGGCAAAATTAAGGTGTGAAAGAACCTTTATTTATGTGGCATAGATATATACATTACACTGTAGTCTGTTAAACTATTCAGGAAATACTTTTAAATACTTTTTTTCTGGTCATTGATCGCAACAAAGGATTTGACTGATTAATACTTTTAAAAAATACTTTAAAAAGAGTACATTAAAAAAAAAGTTAAATTCATAACCATGGTAGAAACAGCTGTATTTCTCATCTGAAATGGTCATGGATGATAAATATATTAAGGAATGGCAGTCTACAAATGTTTAAATTATTCTGTTGTACATATTATATACAGGGTACAGAAGCTTTCATAAACAGAATTTGATTTGAATGTACCCAGCAATTCATATTAGTTGTTAGGCTGAACATTCATAAATTGTTTTCAGGAAATAACATTTGTATAAATTTATATGAGTGTGAATGCATATATCTTTCTCCTCTTTCCGATAGTAAATAAACAAACAGAACAATAGTATTAATTATATTTACTAAACTATAAGTTCTGTTGTTTCAGGACTATCTATACCTTGTATCAAACTCTTTATTCATATGCATGTGTGTGTGTATGTATGCATGTGTGTGTGTGTGTGTGTGTATGAATTAATGTTTTGACATTTTTACTATCGTTCTTATGATGAGTCAATGCATATTGTAGCCTGTCATTCTTTTTAGAGTTACCTATACCATGAATGGCATAATAGAACAATCGCTATAAATCTAGTTTTGCAAATAAAAAGTTCTAGTTTGAAACTTGGCAGAAACGTTTTTTAATTACTGTTTTCCCCTAATAATCCTCCTTTTCTTTGTACTTTGTATTTTTTTTTAATCACTCAGTGCCCCATTTTTCCTGTCACCTGAAGTAGAAGGGTTTCACCCCAGCTCCGAAATAGCTCATAGCTCATTTGGGCTATTTGGGAGCTGAGAAGGAAATCTGGTAATGAATAAAAAGGGAAATGGTGCCCAGATGGACTTTGCTTCATCATCCTCCTTCTTTGAAGCACAGGTAAAGTAGAAAGCTTGGGGAAAGGAAAAAAAAAAGAATGAAAATAATATTTCTGCAGGGTCAAACCAGCCTGTATTTATAAGGCAAAAGTTATAACCATTGTGCTGTTATAATGCTTATGGCAAGGGTAGCATTAAGAGATATTAGAATCAGGGCACTAAGAAAATATTTATTTTAAAAATGCTGGGGTTTCATGTAGGTGTTTTAACATCGTGTGGGGTGTGTGTCTGTCTATATATACACAAAGCCATAAATATGTTACAGAAGACCTGCCCACAGAAACCCAAGGGATAGGCAATTGCTTTTCTGGAATAGAAAGTGGGAGGGCATAGTAAGAGGGGAACTGTCCATTGGGAAGTCACAGTAGTCTGTGTCTAGACTGATTAATTTGTGAGCAGTTGCCAAAGAGTTTCAGTTCAGACAGGATTTTTTTAACCTAGTTAAGAGTCAAGATAGTCTGAGTAAAAGACAAGATCAGCTTAAAGAGTAAGAGGGGAATAAGCATGTAATAAAATTGTATTTGGGCTTTTTCCTGCTTCCATAGATGATTGACCTTATCAAACCAAACAACATCAGTTATCTAAACTTTTGTTGTAGCTTTTTTAAAAAGGAAATAAGAATTTTATGATTGTGAAATCAATTGGTTAAAGTTAAACAGCTTAACTCTTTACAAACTTAGAATTGCTTTGCATTCCAAATAGGATGCAGAGAGCCTCAGAGATGACCTTAGAGAAACTATGCAGCAACAATTTCAGAAGCATGATTTAAGTCCAGGGAATGAAGAACACATTACAAAAAAATTCAAACTGGCTCCCCCTTAACTCCCTGAGTTATAGGAGGGAGGGAAGGGAAAATGCAGTCAGATTTTCAAGATTCTGTCACTAAAGCCTATATCAATTATTTAGAATTCAAATCATTATTGAGGAGTCTGTTTCCTGACCTGGCCTACTTCGAAGGGCCAACATGGGATACTGTAGCTGGAAGTAGAATCATATGATTCTCCTGCAAACTTTGCAAAATTATTACTGCCAAGTTTTAGGATTCCTAAAGGTCTGGTGATAGCTGTGCAGCTCTTTGGTATATAACTATGTCTTCCATTCACTGATAGTGAATTGAAATGACTTCACCATACAAAGAGTCTACAGACTAACCTGAATTGTCTTGAATGATGAATCAGTTAAAACTATGGGACTATAAAGTGTTGTGTTGTGTTTTGTTTTGTTTTGTAGTTACTTATTTTTCAGGTAAGATAGATATGATAGGATAGTGGAAAATAGATAGCTACCAGAAAGTCCTTTCCATTTTGTTCTTGCTATGTGGACTATTGTATATGCATTTCATCAAGCAGCAGGGTGAATTGACTCTAATATGTATACTACTAAAGAATGTGAGTGATTTTTTGATATTTTCTATGTAAGGTCTCATTTTGTATCTTCCTTCATTTTGTTTATTTTTTTAAAAATGGCAAGTTACTCTGAGTTATTTTTCAAATAAACTAAAAATTAGCTCCTTATTTCTCAGCTTACATTGCAGTTATTTTCCAATAGTTTACCATGATTAAAGCTATTAATAAGTGGTGTTCTAAATTAGGTTGAACAAGATATTATTAAGCTCATGGACAATTAAAATAAAACAGCAATGCAACTGTATGTTAAATTTAGCTGCATATTAACTCCTTTTTTTTTAAAAAAAAGATAAGGTACAATGGAAAAGACATTTAGACCTAAAAATTTAAGATAAATTCCCTGTCAAGGGACACTGGGAGTCATGACACATTGAGGATCAGGGTCTTCTATCCTGTCATCAGCTGTTCTTATGCTGGATTCTCTTCTTGGGTTTGTTTTGATTTTTCTCCTGCACAGCTCCAGCTGAAGCCCCACCATCACTGTGGTAGAAGATGTCCTCTGGAAGAAAGTGAATTTCCCCTTCACCCTTCCTCTGTCATGAGACAGCATTAATTTGTACAATAGCTGTGTAAAACTCAAATATAATAAATTATGAGCAGCAGTAGCTAAATTATTGATATAGTTTTCTTTCATAAAAATTAAGGCTAATAATGTTATGGTGAAAAAAATGTTAAGCAAGCAAAATTGTTTGTACCATAAAATATTGTAAAGTGAAAAAGAAAAACAAATTATGGACTTTATAGAAGGGCAGAAAAGAAACCGAGTTCTTGGAGAATGCTTTTCTTCTCTTTCTCGTCTCTCCTTTTAATGTTGTCCTTGATTTCTCTTTATATTCTCCTTCTTCTTAGACAAGCTTAATTCTTTCAGAAAATAAACCCACCAGATCCAGTAGAGAAGACATGCTCCAGGTCCCTTCTATTAAACACTGTTGGGCCCAGGAGCCACACCTCCTCTGGGGCAGCACCTGCCTGTCCCACTATTCTGAAATCAGGCTTTAAAGCAGTGTGGGCAGGATTGTAAAGCTTCTTTGCAAGGGCCAATGGTTGAGAGGGCATTTCTGAAGGAAAGTAGGCGGACCTAGCTTTACCCTTTCCAGCACTGACCCACACATACTGCCTTAAATGTTATCAGTTCAGTCATTACGCTTTAAAGTAACCTCCACTAATATTATTAGCAGCTATTTAAAAATGTTGTGGTGATGAATAGGAAGACTTTTTATCTCATATTAGCTGCATATTGGACAGAAATGTTTTCTCTTTTTCATGTCTACACAAAAAAGAATGCATGGGAAACAGACAGGTGAGGAAGCCTTGTGACCCAGTGGGTTCCATGGCTAACAACTAATATTATAGGGAAGTGTATCCCTATAAAAGCCATTTTAAGTGACAGGAAATCTTGAATGAACAGGCTTTTGAAATTCTACTACACTTTAGAGGGAAATGCTTTCACTATCTTTTTTAAAATTGCAGTTGACAAGCTCTTTAAACTTGTCGTTCTTTAAATACTGTTGTTGTCATATCACAAATTAAAAGGCCATATAAAAACACTGCATTACCCCTTCTGTATGCAAAGACATATAAAAATGCAATGCAATGCAGTGCAATGCAATGACTGTTCAGTTATTAAATAATGGCAAAAGGCATCTGGCCCTAGATCAGCCAACACGATAGGTGAAATTCCATATTTTATAAAGCATATTTATCCATATCTCTGCTTCTCTGTTGGCAAACTTTGGGAAAATGTTGAATTGGGTAGAAAACCATTTTTCTATCAAAAACCATTATTCTACAGAAGGTGGCAGCGGAGGGAAACCAGGGGTTTATAAGTTAATAATTAATTCAGTGGTATTAATTATCAACTGCTTTATCAGATGTTATAGTTATTACATAAACATATATATTTATATGTGGGGTACATATGCATGGGTGCATATAAAAAAATAATAGGAAAAGCAGTGATCACTAACAAGCAGGCTTAGCTTCTCCTAGTAGATTTAATTCCAAAGAATTGGGTTAGGTTAACCATCGCTACCAAGAAAACTATGTATATGGTCCTGCAGCTCTACTTTTTGAACTATTTAGCCATGGAGCCTGTCAAACCCCACACAGCTGTCAAGGAAGCAACAGCTAGTCAGTCTTCAGAAAGATATCTTCAATGTATTTGAAGTAAATACAGAACCTTGGGAACCACCAGAGGAATTTCCAACCCTTCTTTGTAGTGAGTGTATTAAGGTGGAATTTCTTTGGATGATTTGAAACATTTCTCAGATTTTTCTTCATCTGGGCTGCATTGCCATTTATACAATAAGCTACCCTACCAACGGACCTGTGTTTTGCCTCTTGATTCTTTATGTGCACTCTCCCTTCCATTACTTTTCTAGCCTCCCTGCAATCTCTCTCATAACCCTACATACATTTTTCCAGAAAGTATTTGAAGGATATTCAAATGGATCATGTATCCAAGTGCATTTGAACAGAATTGTAATTTGCAATCTGGGAGATGGTAAATGCCTTTTTTGTTTT